TCGCTTCTTTGTTAAAGGAAAGACAGATAAACTCAGAACACTCAAACACACTGTTGCTGCTGCCTACGCATACTGTAGTAGAGCTAAGGGCCATGATGCTATGACTTGGCTATGGGTGGGACGTGTGTGTAAAACAGAAGGGAGGGGGTAAAGGATGCTTGGGGTGGTCCCTTTCCTGACTTCCATTCTGGACAGGCAGCGCCTACTCCTTGGAGTGCATGTGCAGCAGCAGGTCAGCAACACGGTGGCTGTAGCCAAACTCATTATCATACCTGGACAGAGGGTCAAGGAGAAAAGAAAGACAAATTAGTCGGTAATTTCTGAAAAATGTATTTTCTCTCTAAAGAGAAACCCTAGCTTTCTTTTTTACATATTGGGCTGCACAAGACATTTGAAAACTTACCAGGAAATGAGCTTGACAAAGTTGTCGTTGAGGGAGATGCCAGCACCAGCATCAAAGATGGAGGAGTGGGTGTCACCGATAAAGTCAGAGGACACCACCTGCCAACACACAAGTTAGAGGTCAAAGGACATAGTAAAATAAATCATAATTCACTCACTACAAGAATATACCAGCTTTATATTGGCTTTACAGTATATCTGAAATACCTGGTCTTCGGTGTAACCCAGCACTCCCTTCATGGTCCCATGTGCGGCATTCTTGACAGCTTCCTTAATTTCACTGTAAGATGCAGGCTTGGAGAGGCGGCATGTCAGGTCCACTACTGACACATCAGCCACTGGCACCCTGAATGCCATCCCTGTCAGCTTACTAGACAGAGAGGGAGAAAAGAGCGATTTTTTTGTTATTTCTTACCTTCTTATCAATCGTTCTCTATTTCCTTGCCACAGCTAGCAAAAGTGCATCCAAGCTTAGGCTGCTGACCATGGTGTTTGAGTGCATCTCCTTACCCATTGAGTTCAGGGATGACTTTGCCCACTGCCTTTGCAGCACCAGTGGAGGCTGGAATGATGTTCTGGTGGGCACCACGGCCATCCCGCCAAGCCTTGGCACTGGGACCATCCACTGTCTTCTGGGTGGCTGTGTATGCATGAACTGTGGTCTACAGAGAGGAAAGTCGTCAGTAAACATGAAAAGACTGTGCTTACAACAGCACACACTATAAAAATTAACATCACATTTAAAAATGCATATATTTACTGTGACTTACCATGAGAGCCTCCTCAATGCCAAAGTTATCATGGATGACTTTGGCCAGGGGGGCCAGGCAGTTGGTGGTACAGGAGGCATTACTATCAACAGAAAGACAAATGTGTTGCTAACTAATCAACTCTACAAGATACAATATCAAGATATATTATTTACATTTTTGGTGAGGTTGTGCAGCTACATTTGGGAGCTGCTTTGTGGAAATAAACACAGCGTCAGTTCAAAACCAAAGATACATTACCTGACAATGGTCATGGAGGAGGGGTCGTATTTGTCTTCATTAACCCCCATGACAAACATTGGAGCGTCAGGTGAGGGGGCAGACACAACCACACGCTTTGCACCGCCCTGGAGATGGGACTGTGATTGGAGAAGAGAGACAGGTTCAGTAACGAGATATCTGGTAGTCTCTGTGTATTAGTCTGTGCATTTGTGTGTTGATGTGTTTGTACGTACAGAGGCCTTCTCAACACTGAGGAAGACTCCAGTGGACTCGACAACATATTTAGCTCCAGCAGATCCCCAGGGGATCTCAGCTGGCTTCATACTAGAGTCAAAGAAGGAATTGAGTCAGTGTACAATGAAATGATCCTAAATCTGGGAGACAGACAAATAACACTAAAATAGTGCAAAAGCAAAAACAAAGTAGCAAAGACAATGAGGAAGTTACATATAGGGAGGAGGAAAATGAGAAGTGGTAATGGTGCTACTCTTGCTGGAATACTACACCCTGTGCTCTTCAAATGAGTGTGCAGAGCCTCTTTCAATAAATTCATGCAAGGCAAAAAAATATAAAATGTTTCATTTTACACATTTGGATATAAAAGTCACTGACAAACTGGCACGTCATGCTCAAAAAACTGTTGTGAAATAGGAATGTGAACTTCAATAAATATCCTATTTTGTTGGTATTGCCTTTTGCAGAGCTGAGACAGCATCTCTCAATGGACTAAAACAACAGTTGATACAAAGGTTGGAGGGGGTAGCTGTATGGCTGAGGCCCTGGGCAGCAGAAAGTGTCATTCCACTGCCAATAGTCCGTTAAGAATAACGAAGACCAGCAGGTCAAACTAGCATAAAGGCCTCACTGTATCCATGAAATACATGTGTATGTAAATGTAAATATTTAAACTAAACTTTTTCATGTTTTATGTTTTGTTTTTTTTTTTAAAGAAGAAATTGTACTGTTGTGATAATTGGTGGAAAAGTTCCTCATGACACAAAAACTGCTTTGCTCCACACTGCTGATATCTGAGCTCACTATAATAACTGCGACTAGCCAGCAAATGTTATCGTCACTCACCACTGGAACACAGAGATGGGATTGCCGTCGACTATGAGCTTGTCATCTTCTTGGGAGACCTCACCACTGTAACGGCCATGGGTGGAGTCATACTTGAACATGTAGACCTAAAAGGAAGCAGGATGAAAATGATGGGGTTACATTGGTGAGTATTTGAAGACGTTAATACATATATTTGTGACAGTAGCACAGATTTCATACAGTCTACTTAAAGTAGTGTTTAAACCCTAAATCTGACAAGTGATTTCAACTAAATGACAAATAAGCTTCTGTGACAACAAAATGTGTTCAAAATTAAGTATCAGTCATATTCAGTTTATGTATTGCTGACATTTTCTTGAGTGTAGGTCACTTTTTGAACTTCAACAAAAAAGAGATTAAACATTCTAGTGCTTATCATAGATTTAAGCATGTGTTGTGAATAATTTAGCAATAAGTCTGTCTCACCATGTACTTCAAGTCAATGAAGGGGTCATTGATGGCTACAACTCTGATGCCCTTCTGAAGGCAAGCCCTCAGGACCAGGCGGCCAATACGACCGAAACTGTGGAAAGAGACAGGGAGAGAGAGATTAATAATAGTTGCTTTGGGAAATGGTGGGAAACTTCCTCAGGATGTCAAACCACTCCTGGGACCACACATGAGTCGTCGAACAGCCCCAAAGTTTAGTTTCCTTGCTTGAGAATGGCTGCTTATCAACACTCACGGGCAATTACACTTCATTACTAGCTGCTGGATCACTTTTTTGCCAGATAAGTTTAACGTTGCAAGATTTTAAACAATAATGTCGCACTAATATCGCAGCAAACACGTATTTGCTATGTAAAGATACAGTGGAGTGATGACATCATGTCATGTAACCGTAACCCTGTCTGTCTATGTGTCCACTGAACCGTGGAGAGGAGAGACGATAGTGAAGAAAAGATAATGTTACTAAAGTTGACAGAAACTTGGCCTGGCCAGTCAGTGTATTTTACAATGCTAATGTGGCTCTCGTGTACACAACCCTTGTAGTTGCTAATGATAGTGAAGGGAGAGGGGAGATGTGGCTGATATGCCAGTTGGCTTTGGTTTGAAATGCACGTGATCTAGCACCATCCAGTGGTTCTGAATGTGCACAGAAAACTAACACGTTACATGTCTCTAACACATTGTAAGAAAGGGATGCAGTTGAACATGTCACCACAGTAAACCTGTTAAATGAAGAGCACCAGGCAACAGCATGAACTTCAATGTAATCAAAGAGAACCAAAGCTGTTACTGTGCAATTATTATTTGACAAAAATTATTTTTTGCAGTTTTGCAGAACAAAGCACTGCATAGACATTTGTCCTTTCCATATACATTTACTAGCAACCACAAATTGTTTTGGAAGCAGTGGCCACCAAGCCCCAGAATATGCTTCACTGAGGTCCCACCATAGCATCCTAAAATCATCCTGAATATCCTGTTTAAATATTGTGTGTTAGTGTCTGTGTGTGTTTCAAACTCACCCATTGATTCCAACACAGAGATCTGACATGGCTGCTGCTGCTTAGGAGATGTGGAGTTACCTGGGTAAAAAAGAAACACAACATCTACATTAGAAAGGCGACGGCTACTGACTGTTGTACATTCCTGTATGTTTAATTAACAGAGCACTTTTCAACATTTATCCTAAAATGCTCTACGTTGGATCTGATAATTGGCTAACCCCTAATCTGATCTTTAGAAATCACTGCAACACAGAGTTCACTCTTCTTTCAAACTGGGTTTGAACATAAGACAATGAGCTTGAAAACAAAAACACAAATATTTATGAATGTGAATAAAGCAACATGAAGTAATGTTAATCAGGTTTGTTAAGTTTCTGGAATTGGCTGTGATTTTTGCACCAAATCTAAATGAAGATAGAAACACAAGAAAATCGTTTTTAAAAAATATCACTACAACATTATATTTCATGAATAAAACATCAGTCATGTAACTTCTAAAGATCTGTGAGATGTTTATGGCAGTCAGTGTGATAAATTAGCACCGGAGAGAAAAAAAAACTCCAAGGTGGCATACTGGTGTGCAAAAGCCTGACTCAAAGCGTTTAAGGGTGAGATTCTGTTTATCGTCAGTGAGGGAAAATACAGGTGTGTTTTACAGGCAGCTGCTGAAGTAGAAGGGAGGTGTTACATCATGTAGGGGCATGTTTTGAGAACAATGGGATAAGAAGGGAGGGACAAAGTGGTAGGTATGCAATGCTGCAAACACAGACTTGTCTTCCAACTTGAACAGAGAGGAAGCCTGGCCCTGACTCAACTATGTGACCTCCTTTTCACTCTGCTTTCCTCTTCTTTTCATACATCCTCCTATTTCTCCTGCCACCTATATTTCCTTTTTTTGAAGCCTTTCTCTCCTCACTATAACCACCTCTTCCTCTGTGCTGCTGATCTTGACATGTCTTTTACAAGTGTCTCACATCATATTTAGATTCCCATATCAAATATACTCCATTATGTGACCTGTTCTGGGTGCAACACACAAGAAGCTGTGTGCACAACAAGGACCTTCTGACCATAACAAGGATCCAAGCACTCTTAAGTGAATACATACAGTACCTCAACAGCATTCACCAGACACTACCTGACCAGAAGCTATCGTGTGTGTGTGTGTGTCTGTGTGTGACTGACACAGGTAGAATAAGGAAGAGCAGCTAGGATCGACCTTGAAACTGGTTGGTTGTAATTTTAGACTACTGTAATCTCCTTATCTGTGGTGTGTGTGTGTGTGTCTCAGCAGGAGGCATATGGGACAGGCTGTTGATCTGATGAAATGCATTGTGGGGGCACTTTAAATAGACTGAAGGGGGAACCAGATTAGGACAAATCATCCTTTTGTTTCTCCCACACACTGTCAAACAATGATAAATGAGGACTTGGACCGTTTCAACCTGAGTTTATCCATGAATATGACAAAAGCACAATATGCAGATAGGTGGTCTGACTTGCTAGAAAGGTAACAATATTGGCTGTCAGTTAAAATCAATTCATTCAACAGTCTGAGAGTTGTGCACTGCAAAGGCCTCAGTGGTTTCAACTGGGAGATTTCTCACAGGGGCATTTGTGGTGTTTACTTGTTTCATTGATGTTTTTCCTGTCTGTCTTTTTTCAGGACTCTCCTTTCAAGGTAGAGCAGCCATTTTGTGTTCTGCTGCAAGCATTCACAATACAAGGTCAACAAAAGAGAGAGAGAGGAAGAAGGTGCATATACTATGACAATGCAGTCCTCACATTTCTCTATTACCTATTGTGCCTTTACAGAATTGTGCAGTGCCCTTCTCTCCTTCCTCTTTTTTGACCTCTCCTTCCCCCTGTCACCTGTTTCACAATTTATCCCACTCCTTGGCTGCGTCTGTCTTTCTATACCACCATCTGCATTTTCCAAACAACAGAGAAGTTGCCCTTGGTTTCCAAAACAAAATGGCTGGTCTACTGAAAAATGACACTACTTTTAAGCCAGAGTAGGCTTTTCTGCTTTTTCTGCCATTGCTAAAGCAGATGGAAATTTGGGCTGCACAAAGAGTAGTGGAGGCACATAAGAGACAGATCTGGAGTGATGGAATCTCAGAGATGCCTCTGGATGTAGGAAATTCACAACTTAATCAGTGTTATGTGCTTCAGACTGCCAGCTTTTGTCTGCCTGTATGCACTTGCAGAAATGAACCCCTTCCACGTCCGTTACTGTTGCCTAGCAGCCGTGTGGTGCATTGGCCAATCAAGGTCGGAAGAGAAAGTGGTTGCAAGTGCAACGGTTCTCAGTCATTCCTCACCACTGAGTCACAGTGAACACAATTTGGTTAAAATAAAGTGTAGGTAGCCTCGCATGGCATATAGACGACATAAAATTTTGCTTAAAAATCAGAAGCTGTTTATTTGGAATTTTTAAAGAAACAGCAAATCTCCAAAAGAAGGAAAGGAAACAACATAATTGCAAGAGAAAAAAATTTACAAGAAAACTTTCATAACTTGCATTCAACAGTTAGGAGTGCCTTCATGTTTAAACTAATCCCTTGCTTCTCTTCCAGCACACTCACATATAAGGCAGGGACGTGCCTTTTCAGTTTAAATCAACCAATCAGGACCCATCTGTAATCCAATCATCGTTCAGATCCCGCCCACTCAGTGCACCTATCAAAGACCTGCTTTGGAGGCCTGTCCCCTCTGTAACATTCAAGGCAAGATGGCCTCCGCAAGAAAGAAACTCAGGTGATGACTTCTGTTGACCAAATGTCCTTCTACATCAGGCTGCTTGCTTAAATCAGACAAGTAAGCTTAATTTTATACAGTACTTTGTTTTTCTCTGTAGCTACTGGACTAAATAAAATAAACAAAAAACAAAATGGTGTGTCATTCATGTCCACCTCTCTACACAAAAGGTCTCCGTGTGGTCAGGTGTGGAGCTCATGCTTCCTAACATAAACCTGACAGGTATGAGACTGTGCACACAAATCTGGTAGTTTAGTTAAAGAGATTTGTGGTATATTAAAAAAAAAACAAAAAAACCCCTCAAATTCTTATGCCTGTCTTCTGTTAATGATGAGTGAGGTGTAGATTTAACTACTTTGTTATTCGAACAAATAATATCACCGGGTGTACCTATTTTCATGCGGTTTTATTGTGAAACATGTAAAAGTTGTTAAAAATAGACTAAAACATTGATTGCTATAGTCATACGTCATATTTTTGGTTAGATCTCTGCAAGCACTTTTTCCTATATACAATAAACCCTACTATAAGACTATTTTACAACCAAAAAAAAACAGCTTCACGGCCAACAGCTCTTTCAACTGTAGACCAATCAGTCCTGGTCTGGTATTCAGCCCACACTCTGACAGCACTCACACAGACGTGCCACAGCTCACAGAGGCAGCATTGTGCAGAGAGCAGGAAGGAGGCTACACGTTGGTGACTGCTGCTTGCAATCTGCTGACACTCATTAAACTAGTTAAAGAAGAGGCAGGCAGACGTATTACGTATAGCATGGTCCCGTAAACATTTTACTGTTCTTTTACAGATCTCACAAGGACCAGCTTGAAGAGTCAGTACAAGACTCCTTGTCTGGGAATATCTTGACTTCATGCGATGATACAGGTGACCAAGTCAACACAACAAATTTCTGTGTGGTGGAAATGAACCGACTCTTTCCAACTCCCATCTTACCCAAAAAGCAAAGATGGCGTGAGAGTGGAACTGAGGCGTTCCATGTAAATGTCTCTTTGTCTCGGACTGTCCTGTGACACCATTTACATGTCACTCAAAGCGATGAAGCCACTATCTAAGCGTACCTTTAAGTCTTAATATAGCTGGCATGAATATAGTTGGCAGTCTCATGTGGCCCTTCAAGGAACTGCAGTTTTTGGCATTTGTGCACTGGGTTTAATTTTTCAGTCCGAGAGGTTGCAGCTTGGTTGTAACCATATCTTAATCTGAAGAGCTAGATAAGAGAAGAACCAACTAGTCAGTGTTCTATTTCTGTTTCTATTTGTCATCCCTATGTCCATCCATTGCATTACCCCATCTTTCTCCTGCTTCAGTTTGTTTCCTCTTCACCTGCTTCCTATAATCCCCATTCACCTGCTTTAAAAAACAAAAAAAAACCAAAAAACCTATTTCTCCTTCATTTGTCTGGCATCGAGTGTCACACCGCTCCCCTCCCCTTATCCCCACCACCCAAACTAATCATTAAAATTCAGCACCCTCCCTCCAACTTTCTATTTTTTTTACTACTCTTTGTCTGTCTAGTCCTCACTATTTAGCACAGCCTCCCCTCCCTCTGCGCTACGACCCATTTTTCTCACACAAACACAGAGTTTAACCATGGGGGTGCTGAATAGGGTCGCCATGTCTGTGTATGTGCATGAGCAATAGAGACCACTGGGGGACAGATGACTCATAGCTAGTCAACCAGAAAGGCACAGAGACAAACGGCTGCATCAGGTGGTAAAATTTCTAAGTTGTGAGTGGAAGCACAAAAAGTCGAGAGGAGCGTGACACAGCACTCGCTCCAGCCAACACCTCCTCTGATGTCAGGCACTGACATTTTGTGTCTTCTTTTGAGTCGTCTCTTTCCTGTAATATGTCGGCATCTCATGGGAATGTTTGGACAGTGTGCACACTCCAGTAACTTGGTGCAAATCCTTATTTGGACCGAAGTATGAGTAGCACAGATGATCTACTATGTAACAGCGTTAGGGCTCACATACAGACAGGACACAGACTGAATCTCTCACATAGTTCATTATATTTATGCCAGGAGACATTTAGAATCAAGTTAGTATGGTCATTCTTTTGCTTGACCTCAGTTTGTGCATTCATTTGAAATTTCTCGGAGAGTGAATGAACTCAGTCACCCCCCCTACTTTTCCTGTCCAGTGCCACTCTGCGGGTCTTCCTCTTTCACCCGCCCTTCTTTCAGCTTTTTTAGCCTATACAAACCTTCCTCCAGCTCTCTATCCCTCTGTCACACCCTCTTTCTCTCCAGTGTTTTTCCACTGCAGTAGGTTGATTGGCCAGAGGCCAGACGAACTATCCAATTAGGTAAGCCTTTACTTCTTGCCCGCCTCCTAGTGAATTGCATGAATACAAACTATTGGAGTCACTCTTTCTGCAGGCAGCTTAGGAACTTTACTTCTGGTTAGCTGTTCTTTCATTTCCTCTTTAGCAGCAAACTTGCATCCTCTCCTTTCATGGTCTCATCACTGAGCCAAAGTCACTTGCTGCTGTAAACTAGTCTGTTACATGTCAAATACCATCACACAGGCACCGCAGGCTGTGTGTCCTTCTCAACAGGCGTGGCAAGGACAGAATGATAGGAGGCCTATTGTTTCTATTAGACATTTCATCAGTGACAAGTTAGTACTTGGTTAATGAAATGGATAAAGTAAGGTTAAATATTGTGGTTTAACAAGGACTTGTTTATCCACACACACCTACAAGCATACACCAGCCGTCATGAATTAGTAAAAGGTGTGCTGTATCAAACTGCAGAGGAAGACAGACTACTAAGCACAGGTATAAGTGGACGACACACTGTATGAGCTTATGTCAGCAGGCAGATGACATGTCTTTCTTAAGACTCTGTCTCTGTCATTTGCCTCCTTGTTGCATAAGATACAGTGCAGTAGCACTGTTTATGCAGCATTTGCTACCTGTCTCATAGGATGCCAACTATGCAAATATCTGTACCTTTATATAACTGCAGTATTAAAAAAGAAAGCAAAATTGCTTAGTTGTTGGAGTAGGGCCCGTTTACATCACAGCTGTGTGCGTCCTTCCCTGCTGTAAGGCCCATTTCCTTAAATTGGTGACTGTTAGGCACAGGCTGCTGAGTCACTGTGGAGTTCCTTCTCTCTCACACACAGCCTCGACAAGTGGGCTGGTTGATAAGACAGCTGCAGAGCACAATTAAGTGGGACGCTCAAACTCACCTCAGCCTGAAAACAACCACTCTACCTTTAAGTGGAAAACATGAGTTGATCTAGACCCAACAACTCATAACCGCTACAAGAACTAATGACTCAAGGCTATATGGAAATTATTCTCCTGCATGACAAACATCACCAGCAGAAGAAGCAAAAAAAAAAAGAACAGTTAATTTAAACAGCTACATCCTGGGAAACTGTTGTCCACGTCTGCAATAACTGTCACAGAAACCTCACAGACTCGCACTTGAATAAATCCCATGTAGCTTGTGTGGCTTGTCCATATGTTCTTAATAACATGCATGTTGTAGTCCTTGTTATTCTGGAAGAACACATCCTGTGTATGGCAGACTGGCTGCAGCTAATCTCATTGGCTAATGGTATACTCCTTGCTCAGCAAAAGGGCAGCATGTCTGCAACAGTCACTGATGATTACATGTCAGACATTGGACTGACAACCACATCTACAGCACTTGCGAGAGCAGAGTGAGCATCTATGTAATTCAGATTCACGCAAAGTTAACAGCATTAGTGAATTACATAGAATCAATATCCCATCTGAGATAAAAATACTAAAATAATGATTTTCTATCACCAACATGGCACCACAGAACTAGAGAACTAATTCAATTTTTTTTTATAGATTTCATATGAAAGTTGAATATGTATGTTTAACAAAAGGTTATAATGTTAATGAAAAATGTCTTAAATTAAGTATTATCTAGTGAAGCATGGTGCGTGTGCTAATTTCCTTCCAGTATAATCATAGGGCCTGAACACCTTGTAAAAGCACAAGATCAGCTAGCAGATAGCAGTTCTTGGCTTCTAGGGAGATGCTATACTGCTGCCATTTCTGACCTTCAGTCATTCATAGGTAGAGCTAAGACGTGTGACTGTCCAACCATGACTATGTGAATTAGTGATTTCAAGTTGATAAGGAGTTTGAGATTTAGGATTAAGAGCTGAGCAACATCACTACAGCATCTCTGGGCCTGCTGTGACCTTCACCCGCTGGAGTGATGACCTTCAGCACACCTACATGACATGAATTAAGGTAACTACAAAAAACAGGCACGTGGTTGCAGTAATCATGAACACAAATTTAGATTTGGATTATCATTATAAATAGTTCAGGATAGTAGAGAAACATTACCCTTCCTAGCATTTTATAGTTTTATATAATATATTCTCCTCTTTTTAAATATCCTCCACTGAACACGGTTGACTTCTTTGTTAGTGAGTGGTTTGGACGCTTAATAAATCAGATATTAAACATAAATGTATCAGATTGTTGCTTTTAAGAGCGCTGACCCCCTTTTGAAAGCCGCATCAACAGGTCTGTCGAGTCTGGAGTCAAACTGCGGCAGAATCATGCGACACTTTCCCCCTGCCCTTCAGAGGGGCATTTTCAGGAAGCTTCTCTCATTTTTGGATATGAAACGACGCCAAGGTTGCTCGTTTTCCCCCCGTTTTCTCATGTTGCATCACTGCGGCCTCCTGACTCATCTCTGAACGGTGGACAGACTTCATGATGAACACTGGGGGAGGCACGTAGCTGCACCTCCGTTCACGCACACTCATTCAACCCGTTTACCGACGTCATTACGGCTCAACTGTACCACTATTATGCTAATAAAGCTAATTTATTCTCTAAATCACATTTCAATTCCTCAATATCATATTCTTATGTGGTAGCCGCGGCGCTACACATTCTTGCAGGACAGTGGGTTACGTAACATGGAGCCTAATCCACTTCCGCAGATGCAGCACTGCCAATGTCACGTTACCCGCTTAGCAGGAGACAGTTTAGCTGCAGATGAGTGATTTATAGCCCACAGTGCGAACGAACCAGCATCAACACGTTGCATTTTCCTTTACAATACGCCACAGCTCTCTCTTATTTTTGTACTTCGTGGTGTATTTCAGGTAAAGCTAAATGATGCAGGGCTTACACAACCTCCCTCCATAGTACAAGGCCACAGCCGCATCCCCTCCCATCCCTCCCTCTTCCTGAAACGTTAAAACGAGCACAAAATGGCTGTTTTGGAATCAATAAATGACCTTTATAGCGCTCTCTCATCCCATCGCCCGTCTCTGGAGGTCTTCAAATGGCTAATTGTAGATTTAAATGAACCTAGTAGGTTCATTTAAATCTACAGCTAGCAATCTAGCAATGTACAACCTAGCTAGTTAAGGCTACAATGCGGCCACTAACTAGTAATGCAGCATTTATATCACGATAGGGGTGAAAAATTAGCATTAAAATGTCTCGCAACGCGATGCTGCGACGACAGAGTCACCTCTGCATCAATTAACTCCCTGCAACCTGGATCCGTAAGTATACTTGAAGTTTCACTCAGAATATTTCTTATGTTTTAAATACTGAGTCGGAGTGCTGAGCTGTTCTTGTGGCTTACCTCTCGGCTGATGCTGCTTGAGTCTGTGTGCGCAGTACACTCCGCCGCCTTCCGCTTTTATAGCAGACACGTGCCTCGGGGAGCCTGGTCGCCCCGGCGACGTGACGTCACACCCTCCTTCGCCGTCGGGATCCATTGTAAACGAGGGACTGGTCACGAGCTCTCAGCGGCTACCATAGTAACCAGGGATGAGACACTGGTCTGGTCATTGTGTCATAACATAGTATAAGAGATGAGCTTGTGTTATCATTAAGGATCATTTCAACCAGAGAGAGAAATAGACGCGGACGTGTTGAGAAATGATGGAGAATCCTTCTTCCCCCACCACCACGTTCGACGGATATGAAACGAAATACTAGAGGCACGTTCCTTGAAGCACGTAATAGACAGACAAGTAAAGTAGAAGCTGAAAATCTCAATAAACTGAATTCATGCAGCTGATTGTCTGGTCCCTCCCTGCATGTGACAGAGACTGCAGGTCTATAGAGGCAACCGTTGGGTAACCAGGCCTCCGCTGTGCATTGATCTGTAAAGGACTGCAGAGTGCATCTCCTATGGATGCAGCCTGTGTATGTGTGTGGCCATATGGATGGATGCAACACTGTTATGTAAGAAGTGATGAAATTATAGCTGTCACGTTTCCATGGGGACAGGCTGTTCTGCTACTAATCTGGTTTGTATGCTTGCATGTGTCACTATGCAAAATGCAGTAGATAATGATATTATGACAATACATTATAATTTACAGCCGTGTTCATGCGTGTCCTTCCACCAGCCTATTCGCTATATTTTTCCTGTTTTATGGGCTCCCTCTCTCCTCCTCATGCCACAGCACGTGTCACAACGAGGACAAGCCTACGTGAGGCAGGATGCGTACAGTAGTGTAACATGGGAAATCCCTGCAGTGCTGCGAAACTAGGAAGGACAACGCGATTTGCTCACACTGCACGTACTCGTTGGCATTTCGTCATCCCTGGTTGGCGTTTGATTCGCACACTGTAGAACAGGCCGGTCCTTCTCGCGGTTTACATGGTACTTAGCTATTTAATGAAACGCGTTCGGCAAATGGTTTAGATTTCTTTCTCAGAGATCCAGGCTGAACATCCTTACATGTTGTGTGAAGATTTGTGGAAATACAGCGCCCTCTGTAGATCCATCTATATATGTCTTTATCCATCTGTGTACATATCTAACACTCAATTTATCTAGTTTATCCCGTAATGACTCATACCAATGCCGGTACTTGGAGTTATAGGGAATTCTTATTGATAAATAGGTTTCCTTTGGCTGGAAATAAATGATGAATTTTATTTGTTTCTATGTTTTTTTTCATGATACTTAAAATGCCTTGTGTAAAATTGATCATACCAACCAAATTTTTTGACCTTCTATTGCATTCCAAATGGTGAATTTTCAGTAATCAGTGGCAAAGCTTTTATTTGCAACCACAAAAATGTATGCTTTTTTGCTTTGTTTTGTTTTGGCATCTCTGTACTGGGATTTTGCATCAGTCCTCTTTTGTGACACACTCCAGGTCTCTGGGGTTGGAAGGTTTCCATTTCTTGACCACTTTGATTGCATGGTTCAGAGGTCTAATGCTGCTCATGACCATGTTTTCCACAGCACTGGAACTCTGTTCTGTCTCAGGCTGGTGTCAAAAAGGTGCTGGAGAACCGAACATAGTTGTTCTGAGCAGGTCTTGAGAACTCTGGGACTGATACCATCTGGACCTGCAGCCTTGTTCCGGTTCAGTTTCTCCAGCTGTTTCTTGACCTGGTCGCAGGAGACAATCAGGCTGGAGGTGGAGGCAGAGGAGGTCTCAGGATGTCCTGGTGTGGAGGGAGATGAGGCTGTGTTCAGGTCCATGACTGAGCTGCAGGGTGACAGAGTGGAGGTGGGACAGGAAAGCTGTGGGCTCATGGAGGGTGTGTGGTGTGTTGGGTTGGAGGCAGGGGGGGAACTGAACCTATTGAAGAACATATTCAGTTCGTTAGCTCTGTCCAGACCTCCATCAGTCTGATCCCCCTTCAACTTGAAGCCGGTGATAGTCTTCATTCCAGTCCACACATCCCTCACGTTGTTCTGCTGGAGCTGGCTCTCCAACTTTTTCCTGTAGTCCTCCTTACACTTCTTAGTCTGTTTTTTCAGTTGTTTTTGTGTGATCTTCAATAACTCCCTGTCTCCATCCCTGAAAGCGTTCTTTTTGATGTTCAGCAGCTTTTTCAGGTCACTGGTGATCCAGGGTTTGTTATTGGGGAAGCATTATCGAGTTATATAGTTATGAGTTATATTTTACCAAGATTGATTAGATTATAGATTAGAATATTTTTAGTTCATATTAGTGTGAATGTGAACAAATTCACATAAGCTGTGAACACTTTGGACAGATTCGTCCGGTGCAACCGTACACTACAGGCACTTCAAGTTCTTCAAGTATATTAAACAAACCCATGAAAAACAAAATCACAATGTCGGAGTTCATTTCAGAATTAACTACATCCTCATCCCTGGAATAAAAATTCGACAGGTCGGGTTGCTGGGCAACATGAGCGGCACTACGGGACTTGACAACTCAAGTAAGAAGTCCTTCGTAGACGAGACCGCTCATTTAACGAACGCTTAGATGCTGCGTCCTTCGAAGGACCCATACTTTCACGGACACGAAGGCTCCATCCATCGAAGGGTGCAGCCTCTGAATTGGGACAAATGTGTAAGAGTGAAAAGCAGTTCAAACAGCAGTCTTACTGTGTTGGCATTTTATCAGTTTCTCATTAAGAGCAAGTAAAACATGAACACAGAATCATTATCTCCGCTGGATAAAGCCTCATTCTGTTTGTACATGTTGTTGTTTATAACATGACAACCAGTTGCTCATCACATGGCTATCATGGTGATCCCTGTGTGATGAATTATATAAATGCCTATAATTTTGTAGGGCTGGACCCAGTCAGACTTGTTCTTCAAGGTGTTGGCTGTTGGCAGGAATGAATTTCTGTATCTTTCCGTTCTACAGTGAAACTGACGCAGCCTCCCACTGAACACACTCTGTTGATTCTTCACTGTGTTGTGGAGAGGGTGGGAAGAATCCTCCATCATCTTCATCATCTTGTGCAGCATTCTTTTTTGAACAATCAGCTCCAGTGGTTCCAGAGTTATCCCCAGCACAGAACCAGCTTTCTT